CTTTTTCAGATTTTCAGGCATAAACATAAATAATATAGATAATAGTTCAAGAACAATCTGGTCGCTTTTGCTTACATTCCCGTTATTTGAGCAGTCATTCATACATACAAGATTTTATATGAATATTAACATTCTCAAACTTTTATAACCCCTTGATTGGACTATAATGTCATCCATTCATACAAAATTTCATATGAATATTATAGAACCTTTCCGTTTGCCTTGATATGGGAATAAATCGTTTTGCAAGCTTCTTGTGGATGGCATGACAGGTAGCTGTATGTCAACCTATTGATTTTACTCTAGTAACTGCAGAATGTGGTTTAGATAGTTTTTAGTACGTAGTTTAATGACCTTAAAGAATTGAAAAGCCTTATTGTTTCCCACGGAAATAAATACATATCTCAGTCTATTTTTTTACTTTTTAGAAAAGTAATGATAATTTTTTATTGGCTTTTCATTTTGTTGAAATAATGGAGTAGAACAACATATCTTATTGATAGAAGAGGGGTATATAAAACCTATTACAAGGGGCACTTATAAGGAAAAAAATAAAAACAAAATAAAGAAAATAGAAAATAAATTAAAATAGAATAAACGGCAATAGGAAAGCAAATAACAACAAATAAAAGAAAAATCACATATTAATAGCGGCAAGAGATAGCCATTATTATTTTAATATTCTAATGTTCCCCCTCAAGTTGAAGCTTAGATGTCAATCATGTTCAACTTGAATTTGAAGTCATCGAACAGTGGCCGAGGAAGATTTTTAGTGAGAATATCAACTAGTTGGCCACTGGATGGAACAAAAGGAATGCAAATTTTCCGGAGTAATGTTCTTCCTCGATGAAGTGGCTGTCAATCTCCACGTGTTTGGTACGATCATGCGGGACCGGGTTGTGGGCGGTTCTAATGCCGACCTTATTATCACAAAACAACTGCAGAGGGCCAGAGGTTGGCATACATAGTTCGTAGAGCATATGATGCGTTACCAGAGAGCTTCACAAATCTCAAAGGACGTGAATATGAATTCAGCTTCAACACTGTTCCGGGCAACCACTGACTGCTTTTTGCTTTTCCATATAACAAGATTGTCCCACACAAATGAGCAGTACCCGAATGTAAATCGCCGATCATGGATCAATCCAACCCAATCAACATTTGTATAAACAACAATAGAACGAGATGTGGCGCGAAAAAAACAAACTTGAGCCAAGTATGCCTTTTAAATAGTGGAAGATCTGGTGGACAGCGTGGGGATGATGCTCATAGGGTTCATGCATGAATTAACTTAATATACCAACCACAAGACATATGTCAGGGCTTGTATGGGCGAGATAGATGAGTTTCCCCACAAATTCCTAGTAGTGATTTTGTTAACAGGAACTACATTGGGAACATTAGATAATTTTTCATTAGGATCCATTGGTACAACCACCGGTTTGCACAAAAGCAAATTATTCTCTGTTAATAGATAAATCTCAGATTTTCTCTGAAACAGACAAATGCCCCGAGATGACCAAGAAACTTCCATGTCTAAGAATGTCTTTCAAAGGAGTATCAGAGGGATCCCAAGTCCTTCATTTCAAAGGACGTACCTAGAATGTCTTTCAAAGACTTGTCTTTCAAAGGACGTACCTAGAATGTCTTTCAAAGACTCCAATGTCGATAGATCATTTTCTTTGAGCACAATATCATTGACATAGACGATAAGAATAACAACATGATCATTGAATGAATGATGAAAGAAGAGAGTTGTTCTGATTGAGATTGAGTAAAACTATGACCCACTAAAAATTTTGTGAACTTGTCAAACCAGACAAGTGGGGATTGCTTTAGTTTATAGAGGAATTTTTTCTGCTGACGCACTTTCCCTGGGGAGATAGTAGAGTCAAAGCCAAGAAGAAGAGACATGTACACCTCCTCTGTAAGATCTTCATTCAGGAACACATTCTTAACATTGAGCTGGAATAAGGGCCTATACAGATTCACTGCAAGAGATAATAGGATTCAAATGGTGTTTAACTTTGACGCCTGAGCAAATGTCTCCTCATAGTGAACTACGTAGGTCTGTGAGTATCCTTTGACGATCAATCATGCCCGGTTGCTTTCAAAGGAGCCATCTGAGTTGAACTTGATGCTAAAATCTATTGGAATCCCACTGTTTTCTTACCCCAAGGAATATTTATGACGTCCCATGTATGGTTTCGCTAAAGGGAATTCATCTCCTCTATTACTGTAGTTTTTCAGGCTGGATCTGGCAGTGCATCTTCAATAGTAGCTGAGATCTGATGTTCTGTCAGGGCAGGAGCAAATGCTCCACAGGCCGACGATAAACTGCGGAAAAAGACATATTTTTCCATGGAATGGAGAGAGCATGCCTATTCACATACCTTTTTCAAGGAAATTACCTCATTTAGAGTAGTAGTAGTGCCAAGGATGTTACTAGTAGTGCTTTCAAGGTCCTTCAAAGTGGTAGCTGGCTTTAAAGGAGGGGCATCAGGACGAATGTGCCCAGTGTAGCACGGAGAGTGGGAGGAGGAGATGATGGAACAACAGGAGTCGGAGATTCCTAGGTGGTAGGAATAATGGGCGGAACATCCATAGGAGTAGGATAATGAATAGTGTCCAAGAACTCTATCTCCCCTTCACTTGAGGTGAGTTAGGAAAATAGGGAATACCTTTAAAAACAGAGATGCCAACACTCCCATATATTTTGTTTATGATAGGACCAAAACTTTGATAACTTTTTTTGAGTGACAAAGTACCTTAGAAAGATGAATTTTATGGATATGGGTTCAAGTTTACTCCGAGTGAGGTCAGTGTTCTAAACAAAGACTGTGCACCCAAAATTTTTGAGATCTAAGGTTGAGAAGTCCCAATTGTCGGGAAATCATGACATCATGACAGTTAAGGGGGTTTGAAAGTTGTGAATTTTAGAGAGGATTCTATTTATGAGATAGGTGACAATCAATATGACATCCTTCCAAAAATCTTTCGGGATATTAGATTGAAACATAATTGAGCGAGCAACGTTGAGCAGTTGGTTTTCCCTCTCGACTACCCGATTTTGTTGAGTGTCCGTACATGAGCTATGGTGGAGAATGTCTTACCAAGAATTCACCTAAAATAGAGTTAAAAAACTCACGACCCTGAAATGAAGTTTTGAATTGGGTCAAAATGAAGGTGTAGAAGTTTGGAAAGTGAGCAACTTCCGATTTGTCTTTTAAAACATAAACCTATATCATTCGAGTGTGGTCATCAATCAAAGGAACCGCCGTTTATTGGCATAGCTGGCAGTGCAAGTGTGTTCCCATACGTCACTGCGAATGAGTAAAAAAAAATGAAAGATGTGTGAGTGAAGGGTGGGCAATGAACCCGATAATGTTTGGCTAACTGACACCACTCACACTTGAAACTAGAAAGACCTTGATTAGAAAACATCAATGGATACAAATATTTTAAATATTGGAAATTAGGATGAGCCAAACGATAATGCAACAGCATAATGACATTCAGTGACTCGAGATAGGCTACAACTACTGAGTGGTATGTCTTCGTTCTCTGTGCTTTTCTCTTGAAAGTAATAGAGTCCAGCTATCCGCTTAACATTTCCAATCATCCTCCATGAACAACGATCCAGAAAGACAGAAACATTAGTAAAAAAATAAGCAACACAACAATGTTATGTGTCAACTTATTGATAGATAAAATGTTACATTTCAATAGTGGTACATGTAACACAAATTCCAGAGTTAGATCGGTCGTTAGAATAAGAAACCCTTTACTAGCAATGGAATTATGGGAGTTATCCATAACTTGGATTGTCTCTTTTTCAGAACATGGATAGTATGTCGAGAAAGCTTTCAAGCATTCAATTATATTAGCTGTGGCGCTTGAATCAATGATCTACAGATTAGAGGAAAAAGAAACGAGTGTCATAGGGACAGTACCTTGACGGTCGTGTGAGGTCGATGGGTCGGCATAGAACTGATTGAATCCAAGTTGCTTGATTAAGTGCTCAACCTGACTTTTCGGAGAGTCGAAGGATTCTGGGATGTTCTGTGTAGGAGCCGGTTGAATCGTGGTAGACTCTGATGTCGTAGTAAGACCCTTGACAACAGAGGATTGGGCTTAGGATTTGTATGCTAGTTTTATATGGAGCTTCCAACACTTGTTACGAGTGTGGTTGGGTTTGTGACAGTAATCACAAGTAGTATGACATGCTCGAGAGGGCATAGCACTATTAGAGACCAAGACAGACAATTTTGTTGAAGGGTTGAAAGTGTCGACTGTGATAAGTATCCATCTTTCTTCTCAGTGGATCTCGATGAAAATAGCGTGAGCGGAAGGAAGTGGATCCTGACCAATAATACAACCCCAGTTATCGTCAAGGTCTTTGTTGAGGCTTGCCAGGAATTGGAATATATCATTTTTTACAATTTTTTGGAAGAGATAAAGTTCGCCCTCTGTTGGATACAATAGGTAATTCTGAAAAATGCAGGAGAGACCAACAGCCGCAGAACAACTGCAGGGAGGATTTGCAGGGATAGTTGGCTGGAGAATCTGTACCTTTAGGGAGAAGGCCTGCGGCGGCCAAGGAGGTCGGCGACTGTAGGGGGCAGCAAGGGAGGGCAGGCAGCTACGAACTTCACCTGGAAGGGCTGACAGGTAGGAGTTCCTGCAGAGAAGGCCGCCGGTGGCTAGGATCTAGTGTAGATCCTGGGTTTGATACTATGTTGAAATATTGGAGTAGAGATGCATATGTTATTGATAGAAATATGAGTATATAAACTCTATTACAATGGGCACTCATATGGGAAGAAATAAAAACAAAATAAAGGGAAATAGGAAAGAAATTAAAATAGAATAAAGAGAAATAATAAAGCAAATAACAACAAATAAAAAAAAATCCGCGTATTAATAACGGCTAGGGATAGCCGTTATTATCTTGATATTCTAATACTTTTATTTTTAGTTATTTCTTTTTTTTTTTTCAGGGAGGCTTGGCCGCTTGATGGAATGGAGTTTGAAACATTGAAGGAAAAACTTGCTAAGCGGAAGCCAGAGGATCTTATCATAGATTATGGTAATAAATAGGCAGACTGTGCAAATTTAAAATTTTTGTTTTATTATCGTCTTTTTTTTTCGTATATTTTAATTTACAAACAATAAGCTTGAATTTGTCTATTGTAAAATTGGTTTTGAATGTTTTTTTGTATTGGCAAAATTTTCGACTAAATTGGGGTGATCGCTGTGGTCTAATATGCATTTATCAACTCTTCGTGTAGTTCAGAAAAGAAAAAAAAATTATTTGATTCTATTACATCATTTTGATCAGTTCATATCATGTTTTGCTTGCTTTTCCACTCGTTTGCAGCTGATATTTCTATAATGTGTTGGCGAAGAGGGTTATTGGTTGAAAACCATTTCCAGGATTTAGGAGCCCATATTATAAAGGTTTTAAATGACTAGTGTGGCTCATAAGATTCTTGAATTTTATTTCTCCCTTGTTATAATGAAGCAACCAAGGCTTAAATAATGCTATGCTTCTTACCAACCCATGTGATTATAATAAATCTGGGGAGGTGCATGTGCAATGCAGGATTTTATTTAGGTCACAATTAGTTGCTTGAAGTTGAAAGCATATTTTTGATAATTATGTAATTTGTTAATCATATCATGTGATTGGGTACTGGCAAAAAAAGTTGCTTTAAGCTTCGCAAACTCTTAGTCTCCTCATTTAATGTTTTTTAATTTCACCCAAGTTATCTTTTTTCATAACATATTATTTTCTATCTACGAGGATTATGCACTTGTGACAATCTTTTTAGTCAAGTAAAAATAATTATGGCGGGTTTATTGATCCGTTGCACTAGTATGGTATTGCATTTCTCTATTGTTTAATTTTTTTAGTGTTTTATTTGAAGCAAATCAATCCTAAGTAAAATTTGATGCTATTAATAATATCCTGAAGTCCCATTATTGTGTATTTCAAAATCACCCAAATTGGCCAAAAATAAAATATGATGCTCACATCCTTCTTTTTGATTGTTTTTCTCTGGTATTACCAGCAGTGCCCAATCCGAATCCATCAACTTCCCATTCCCTTTGCTAGAAATGTTATAGCTTACTTGGTCTTAGCAATCAACCAGACATCCCTCATCTTTGTAGCCCACTCTGCACCGAACGTCACTGTGCCCTCATTATACCGTCTATCATTGCGTTTGCCAACGGGCCTTCATGTAACAAATTGAAGGTTTGCTTTTTTTTTATTTTTTTGTTTTTTTTGTTTTTTTTATTTTTCTTTTTATTTATGAAGTTTTTAAGTGCTTCCTATCTTAAATTATTCCATTTGGATGTATGTTTAGACACTATAGAAGCGTTTTAAGTAGGCATGAACAATTATAACTGCATTAGAGCTATTTTTGCCTCATATTGATAAACGGTCATTTTAATTTTTTTAAAATAATATTTGTAAAGATGGCTAAACTTTGCTCCCAACCGATTCGAAAATCAATTCTTCTATGTTTATTTTACAGACAACAAAATTATTCTGTGTATTCACAATATACTCTCCATTTATTTTACTCTCTGTATAAAATACATGAATTCATAATACCTGCAACCAAATAGCCTCAGTGTTTTCAATTTGTTTTCAAAATTTAGTATAACTTAGATTTGATGGGAAGGAAGTTAACGGAATAATTTTCTATGGATTATGTTGGTAAACTGGTGGCAAGGGATGGATGCTGTGGTGAATGCTTTACAGTTTGATTTTTAATATGCTGACATCAATATATCAAACATCAAGGAAAATGGACGAGTTGTATGTGGGTTGATGATTTTAAAATATATTGGAACAAACCGTGAAACCATGAAAGTATGTTGCCTATTGAGACCTTAAATGAACTCTGGTTTATCAACTTTCCCATGATGGGGCATTATGTACCTAAAAATATCCTATGATATATTTAATGATCACCAGAAGTAGCTAATATATCTCCTTTTTCAGCACTATAGTGAAGGCAGGCGACAGGCTTGGAAGGTGATGTCTATCAGTGAACTATAAAGATGGTTTGGGCAGCCTGTCAGCTATGGTTTGAGCAAGACAGCTTTTCTTTGTAGTAGAAACTGCTGAACTAGAGATTATAAGAAGGGATGTAATTATATGGAAATTTAACTTTTAGGTCAGAATGAAATTTTAGAACATTGATTGATCTTAAGAAACTAATAGGAATGAAGGTTTTTTAATATTTATGATAGGAGTGTGCAAATGAATTAACAAAATTGATATGCAATGCAGTTTGAAAATAGTCAACTTACAAGATTGGCAAAGGCCATGATTAATACTTGATAGCAATGGAATTTTTAATTTTTGATATTGTGCTGCAAATAACTGTTATCATTGTTTCCTATACGGATTCTGCAGCAGTTTTATCAAACACGCAAAACACAATGCAATGTGCAAAGCTTTATTTTTGCTTCAAATCAGAAAATACAAAACAAAACACTGCTTTTATCAACCAAAGCGCTAATAGATTATACAAAATTATTAATGTATAAATACATTCATTAACAATTATAAAATATAAAGTATCATAATGCATAAGTTGAAGGCAAATATTAAATGTTAAACCTACAAATTAAAATTTCAAATAATTTCTAATAGTTTGTGGCAATAATTAAAAACTTAAAAAATTACAAAAATAAACCTGCAAATTAACCTCAGCGCATTGAAGCGCGCCTCAACGAAGCCAAGCGGGCGTCACGAGCTTCGCTTCAGTTTCCTTGTGAAGCATGTTTCAAAGTGCGCTTCTAAAACATTGAAATTTTCTAATGTTTCTACACGAGCTACTTATTCTTATCATTAATGTAAGTGTAGATTTGTCAAGACATTTAGGAAGTGTGATAAATTGTAAATGAACAGCTGTTGGTATAGGAAGTACTAGATTAGCATCCATTAAATCATGGACTATAGATTGATCGTGAGAGGCCTTGCTTTTCATAGTTGAGATAAAATTTTTGTAAGAGACTTGGAGTTATATAACAATGTTTTTAAAAAGCTAATGTTTGAGGTGATTACCCGAGTGAAGTAAGCCACTAAAAAAGTTTTTTCTACTGTTTATCTTAAATTATTATGAATATTTTTAAAAAGTATTAAATAATGAATTTTAAGTTCTGTAGCTTACAATGTTCAAAAATCTCTTTAAATGAATTGCTTTTGAGCATGTATAATTAAACTACTCTACTTTAGAACAGACTATAAGGATATTCTGATTTTAACAACTATATTCTTTCATTGCCATCATTCCTCTTTTCTCAATTAGTGTATTTGTAGCCCCTTATCTCTTCCTATGTTTACTTGAATTTTCTTTTGCATGCATGCCAACAATTATTATCCATTTCTCAAATTAAAGCAAATCAGTCGTTTTATTGTGTAATTTAAGACAGAGTGCTGCCTCAGCCACATTTTTGTAATGGTGCCAACTTGAGAAGCGTGTGAGATGCTATGGCCTCACCTCACCACACATTCAACAGTATTGCTTCAAAATACTTTAGTTTAAGTTGAGCATAATATCAAAAGAGCTAACTTTAATAATTGGTAATGAAAATTCTTAGAGGCATCCTAGACATTGGAAAATTGGGCAGGGGTATTTTTTATGGTGTCGCCTTGAATTTTAGGGAAGCAATAGGTATGACTTTCTAACCTATATAGTAGGAGAATAGTCATGCTTAAAAATGTATAAGTAGGCTAGCAGCCACAAAGTTGGATAGATTTTTTCTATCAGGAGGGGAATGTCTGCATCTTCAATCTATTTTAAATTTTAAATATAGCCTTCATTTGTGAGATCAAAACCTTCTACTATTTTGAAGAAAATCATTCAAGAAATGTCATACACAATTTCATGCATACTTAGTCGTTTAATCATTTATCATGCTCTTAAAAAAAATTTCCAATGATGGTTTGACTTGTATGGGAATAACTTGTGATTCTCGTAGCATGAGAGTTCTACAAATGGTTTGGCACTTGATACATGAATTTTTCATGTTATTTGTATCATTGTCTATGAGTTTGATTCATAGAACTTGTGTTAAATTGAGTTTTTTAATCCGGGCGTCTACTTGTCTCAGCTGTCTCCCAATCCTTTTTCTCTTAATTTATTTTGCTAAATTAATGGGTTAAGATTTTATGGAATGTTGATAAAGCTTAATCTTCGTATTGTTTGATGTTGTAGACGAACGAAGTGTTTTTTATGCTTAAAAACCTTAAAACACTCTTGACTGGAAGATAAACGTGTGAAGAGGATTATTTCATTTAGGAGAAAAAACGCAGTAATATTAATGAAGATAATGCCAACCCTCTTAGTCATCTGATGGTTTATGAGCTGTGATCTTGTCGTGCTGGCAAGTTTGAATCTCTCTCCATTGTGTCACAAATTTGAAAACTCATGTTCAATTATTTTCAGAGGATCAAATCGAAACCGAGATGGATGAAGATTTCTCCAATGATGAACGGGACCTTATCCCCTATGCTTCAGATGTTTCTGAGGTCACTTCGTTTCACAAGAATGATGAAGATTACAACGATGAAGACGACGAGCACGGTCGTGCTGATCTTGGAGGCGGTTGGGGTAGGATCTTATACACACCAGTGCGAAGAGGTAAGCGGATTGCACTAGATGTGTGCAGATCTGTAAAAAGGGATGCATCTGAAGGAGCCTTTGAACGGATAATGATTACAAAGAGAGAGACACCCGATCTGCATCTCCAGGCACGCAGATCTCTTTGGGGTGACCTTTGGCCCTTCTAAAACTTGATCTGTAATTTTTTTCTTAAGTTTTGTGTGGTTTGTTTGCGTGATTTTGAATTATCTTAATTTTATGAGATTTTATTCCTGATTCTTGTTTATTTTTTTATTTATTTTATCATTTTTCAGATGATCATTTTCATTTGTTTTATTTGCATTCGTTCTAACTTTTTGTGATACGAACTGCTTTATTGGAAACAATTGCTTCAAAATTGGAAACTTGGGCATTCAATATTACATATTTTTCATAAAATATTGCACATTTTAGCAGCATGAAAACTAAGTGAATCCAAGAGTTAGTGCTTTGGATGTCTCTATTTAGCATTCACGTGGATTATTTTACAAGATTTATTTTAAGATAAGTTGATAAACATTAGTGGTATTAATAATGAATTCTTAAGAAATATTTCATGAAAAATAGCAAATCGACGTATACAAGATAGTAAGTTTGGCTTGAAAGAATTAATCAATTGAATTAAGGTTATATCAAATGAGATCTTTCATAAGAAATATTTCGAATAAAAAAAAATTTTTGATGCATTTTTTTAATTGAAAACTTCGAGTACCAAATTCAAGACCATCCATCAATTGATTTTAGCAAATTTATAATCAAATTAAATATCTTGATAAGTTCAACTCAATAACATCAATATTGGATTGCCATGAGTAAGCTAAAATTAAGAAGTTGAAGTTTGATTGGAATATCAAAGCTTTAATTTAAGGATTAAGTTATATTTGAATTTTATATACTTGTAGTAAAAGATATCCTGATTAGAGAAATCCAATAAGCACAAGAGTACTTGTTTTTTAATGTTATTAACATATTTTAATTTTAAAAAAAATAATTTATAATAAAGAGAATTAGCATGAGCTATTCAATTAAGTTTTTTAAAATTTTGGTTAGATTTATCAAAACAATACTCTTATAATGGTATTATTCTTCATATAAGAAATATATTAAAATTTTGAGAGAGCATGAAGTTTTATTAAAAAATCTAATGCTTTGCTCTATGTCTAATACTAAAGACTTACTATAGGCAATTTTCTTTGTCAGAACCTTATTGTCTTATCACCATAATCATTGCCTGACTGTTACATCTAATCATTATCATCCAATTATTATTATGTGACTATCATCACCTAATAACCATCATCATCAATAGACTGTTGCCTAACTATTATCTTTAGATTGTTGTTATTTGAGCCTTATCCCTTAGTCATCATCATTATCTCCCAGTTACTTCAAGCTCTAGTACATTTACACAAGTCTAAATTTTAGTACATTATTTGGTTGTCAAATCTTCTTCAGTTGAATGAAAGACACTTGGAGCTTGAAGGGAAAAAAGAGATTGAAATAGAGAGAGATTGGGTGTATAAAAAATTGTAGAGCTTAGCCCATTGTCTAATACTAATAACCACCACCAACAAACATTATGGTTTGATTACTTCTACATGCTTGTTATCATCATCACCAACCTATCAGCTCATCACCATCATCAGACCATCATCACTGATAGAAAATGTCCATTTCACAATTATCAACTACCATCAGTATTGCCTGAGTTTTGCTTGGTCATCATTTTCCAAATGTCATTGCTTGAGCCTCGTTACTCCACCATTGTCATTGTTTCTCCACTACTTCATGCTTTATATATCTAGAGAAGATCAAATTTGAGTATTTTATTTCATTATCTTGTCTAATTGAGAGAAGAATGAAATTATATAACTTCATTTATAACATGATTTTTTTTCATTTAGGCTTACAATGCAGCTTTTTTTTTTTTTTTTTTTTTTTTAAATTTTTTTTTAGCAGCTTTTTTTTTTTTTTTTGAAATTTTCATGTAAAAACTTTGATATCTTTTATATTTTTTTGTTTTGCATGTGTATATGTCAAGAACTTTGCGCAAATTTAAGACAAAATTCTCATTTTATCATCATATAATTTCTAACATGTAATAAAAATATTTAATTTTTAATGAATTCTATAATTTTATATGAATAATATATTTTAAAATGATGGATAAATCTGCTTGAAAAAAAATATAAATTAAATATAATAAGTTGAAGAGGTCTGATTTTTGAATATGTTAGAAGTTCATTGAAACATAAGAAAACGATCTCCTAATTTTAAATATATTATATTAATTTAAAGTACACTTAGAAAACTCCTAAATGTTCAATTAAATACCACTCTTATAGATTATTCATTCATGGCATGCCATTCACACATCAATTCCAATAGCCTACAGATGAGTTTTTAAGTGTCATTGTAGACATTTAAAGAAACATAAATGAAATTAGGGCCTACTTTTCCTTCTTATGGAAGTAGTCCTCTTTTCTTTTTTTTTTTTTGTCAATGTGGTTTATTAAGTATATTTTTTTCAACTTGATTAAAAGTGTTCAAAATTCCAACCTAGAGGAGGTTTCACATCACTGAGTTATTTAGCATCCATTTTATTATTTATTATTTACTTTTACTTTTAAAAAATGAGTCTAATTATAAAGTAATTTGCTATTATTCTCTTATCAAGAATGGTGCATTAGACTAGATGATAGACCTACACTAAACTTCCAGAAGTCGGTTAATGTTGCACACCAGGAGTGTTATTTTGCTACTTGTGCTGAATCAAACCTTATTGAATTTCAAATTAAGAGAATCAAAGTTATTTTTCATTTTTTTCTCTTTCTTTTGAACTTATAATTTTTCTTTGGAAGAGGATTGTCTTTGTACTAAAACATTGAGCATATGTGAGAGAGATCAAAATCAGCTTCTCTTTTATAAATTTGATAGATAAGGTTGATTTTTATTAATCAGCTGCTACATGTCTTTAGTAGTTCTATTGAAAAATGTCTATTGGCTCTTTCATGAATGTGTGCAAGATTTTTTTTTGCGGCAAAGTATGTTGATCATTATCTAGTATAAACTCCATACTCTTCATTTGCATTTTTATTATTTTGTCACATCTTTTTGGCATCTCAATACCTTGAGAAAATGGCATCAACAGATTGGAAAGCTACCACTTTCGTGTTGAATTACAACTTTGTCATGCATCATATTGCTTACAAAATTTCTTAAACACGACTACCCCTTTCAATTTCATATTGCTTGGACAATTTTGTTGTGCGTCATAAATCTCATCTTAAAAAAAAGTCATCTTAGAATTCATTGAAGCAATTCCTTAATAAGAATGTTGTCCCATTTATTGTGGATATTTTTTGTGCTCAAGTTTGACATTAGGTGAACTTTCCTGATGTAATCACTTTTTGATTTTGAAAATAAGTCATTGAACCAATTGGATTATTGCTTCAAGTCACAAACATATTGTTAGTTGAAAATTTAAATGGGGCTTTCTTGCTTTACACCTAGTTTAAATAGTTCTGCGTATGATATTGATTTGTATGTTTTTAAAAATAATGTGGAAATGAGAACATACAACAAACAAACAATAGAGCACAAGCAATTTATGTGGTTTTGTGTGAATTAGATCTACATCCAAAAGGAGATTGCACTGACATTGATATGAAGAGAAAGAAAGATGGCCAATTTGGTGCTACAATGCACACACCCACAAGGCCTTAATCCCTCCTTTAAATAGAATAAAATTAGAGCATATAATTAATAAATAACAAATTACAAGTCAAACCATTAATACAAGTGACATCTCTAATATAATAATCTCCATGAACAAATGACTCCAAAACACAAAAATCAGCTGCAACAAGATGGTTGCCTATGTACCTCCCTCCCGAAGGGATCAAACATCGTGTAGTTTTTCAGAATGCCTAACTAGGAAATCAATTTTGAACTCTGATGTTCCCCATAACTCCTGCAATAGGTAAACTTTTGGACTGGTACTTTGTAAGCACATCTAAAATTTCTAGCTACCTTATCCTTGAGAATTTTAACGCCAAGAGTTCTTTGAGCTTTACTCAATTTCCTCATTTTGAAATGTTTAGATAGTTGATTCTTCATCCTATTAATCTCGATCTGGCTAGTATATATAATTATCAACATATATACAAAATTATATAAGCTCACCATACTCGCTCCTCGTATACTTTTATCCCCCTATGAATTGATCAAACTTGTTATATCATTGTTTTGCTCACGGCTTCAAATTATACAAAGACATGTCTAGTTTGCAAACTAAGTCAATAATGCTTCATATCCAAGCGACTGTAACAAAAAAATATCCTCTTCGCAATTCCCCATGTAGGAACACAACCCGCACATCGAATTACTCTAATATCAGATCATATTGTGCACAAGTGCTAAGAGAACACAGAATGAGAGATGCTTGACTATTATGGAAATAAATTAAATATAGTTAATCCCTTCTCATTATGCAAAGTATTTTGCCACTAATCTTACCTTGTGTTGAACATCAACTCCATGAGAACCTTTCTTCTTTGCATACCCTCATTTGCATTCAATGACTTTCCTTTTCGGAGGAAGCTTTACAAACATCTAAGTAGTATTTTTCCAATAAAGACTCCATCTCTTCATCCATTGTTGCTTTTCAAAGATCACTTTCTCTGCTCTTCATCGCTATTTTGTAATGTCAACAAATTTTAGTCTCCATGGTTGAAATTGCAAATGCAATGTGATTCCTCAACTAAGCTAATATTGAGATATTATGGTGCCTACTCTTGCACATGGAAATAGATTTCTGAGCAAGAATCTCATCCTCACTATCCTCTTTCATCTCCTTTTGAACACTAGCAATATATAACTCTTGAACTGTAGGTGAATCAGACATCTGAGTAGTATTGAACAAACTCCGTGGGCCAAATGGTGTTGCATTAAACTTCTATTTATGCTACATATTCATGGTCTGACAGAACTCCACCTGCTAAGAGATACGAAACTTTAACAAGCTCTCCTTGTCGAATGGAAGATCATTTCTAATGAAAATATTCATTTTCTGACCAATCCTATAGCTTAAAGCTCTTGAATCCATGCCTGGAGCTAGTGAAGATTGTCTTATTTGCTTGTGATTTCAGTTTATCATTTTGCACGTGGTGTTAAGTTGGACACCAAAACAGTCTAATGTTATGATAATTCTAGCAGGGTG